CCCTTATTCGACGTGTTTTCACTCAAGACGAAAGAATCTGGCAAAAAAACTCGGCGGTCGGCTTCGTGAATTTAGTTTTTGATTCTAAAGGCTAGGTTCACAACCTTGCTTTAAGAGGCCGTAAGCCGTAAGTCCGGATCTACAATAGGTGTTTCATGCCTTATGCCGTAAGAAACTGACCAATTACAGTCGAATCCGAAAAGAATAAGCGACTGTGATTCGCCCATTTCTTATGGCTTAAGGCTTAAAACTCTATTGTAGATCCGGGGTAAAGCCGTAGGAAATTAACCAACCACAGTCGATTATTTTTCTCATATGTAATTGTGATTAGTCAATTTCTTAAGGCTTTACGGCTTAGGGCTTCTTAAAGCGAGGTTGTGGACCCAGCCAAAGTCTCCAACTTTAACTCTTAAAAACTCGATTTGCGAGGCCGACCGTCGCGTTTTTTTTGCCAGATTCTTTCGTTTTGAGTGAAAACATGTCGAATAAATGTATTTTTATTAAAATTTGAGATGAGGCGGGGGTATTCTAAATAACTACCCTTATTTTGTTTATAAAGTTTTATTTTTATTTTTATTTGGATTAATCCTTACAATACAGGACGTTCTAAAATATATCAAGTACTCTTTACCTACTAAAAAAAAGTTTTATTTAAATATACAATACATACAATACAATACAATATACATTCAAACAATACAGAATAATACAATACAGTAATATACAATACATTCTAACAATACAGAATACTTTTAATCTGTGTCATGCTTTACTTACAGAAATAAAAATTAATGTTATAAAATTATATTTGTTAAATCTTAAGCATGCATTCTTTTAATAAGGATCTCATGATCGACTCGATTGAAGTCTAAATATCTACAGTTGATGAAGCAAATCCGATTTTTGCTTGTTGGCGAACTACACTTATGTTAACTGTTACAAGACGGTTAACATTTAAAAATAACATTGCAGAAGAGAGGTATACGCACAGAGATCACTGACACACAGTCGTTAGCTTAGTGGTTACATTAATCCGTGGTTAATACACATCTTTACAAACATCTATATACATTACCTATTTATATATGAATATTTATTTAATGAATTAGTGCTTTCAATGTAGGTATCTTTATATTATAATATTTAAAAAATTTGTAGTTAAACTTAAATTCCCTTGGCAATAATTAATGAATTCCATGATCATCACACACACATTTGTTTCTATTATGGTTTTTATCGAATTTATCAATATATATAGGGTAAGTGGGGTGAATATGCCACACTTAAGCGAAATTAGATTTTTGAATAATTATTTGTTCAAGTAATTTTACATACTGATCTTCTTCTTCCATCCTTTATCTATCATTTGTGTATAATTAGAATCGAATATATTCATTTTTTGTTATTAAAAGTAAAGAAATACGAAAGTGCTGAAAATTGGGTAATATGCTACTATGCGGGTAATATGCCACATACAAAAAAATACAATGTATTCAATGTATGATGTATATGTATATATTGTTACGTCCGGGAGGATTCCACGATTTCCTCGTTTCGAGATTACCTAATAGGGTGATCGTTGAGACAGGATGTAAGAGAAAATGCGAGAGTTAACGGTCACCGATCGGCGAGCGT